TTAGACTTAATTCTGTCATATTTCAACCAGTCTACTATTGAACTTTATTAATATTAAAGATTTATTATCAAACAGTACAAAGAATAAGTAACATAACATTACTCACAAGGTACAGATATACCTTAAACCAGGGATGTCCAACCTTTTTGTTTCTCTGGGCCACAAGTATATTTAAGGATTAACATGTCTAGATTATAGTAATAATTATTAAAACTTTATTACGAAAAAGGTTATTTTAAAAAATTACATCTACAGACAATTTCAATTTTTACTTAGAAATAAATAAATTCATTTATTATAAAGGAGACAAACAAAAATTTATTTGAAAAACACAAATATTTGTTTTATTTGGGTCTCTAATTAATAAATACGACGAAACACCATTTTAAAGTGCATTTTTATTCAAATAATATATTTATAAATAATTTGTAGCCCAAAAAGTAGCCAATGTGCCAAATGATATTTTTTACGCCAAACTAATAAAAGGGTAGCCAAATTTGGTGTAAAGTAGCTAAATCTTGCAACACTGTAAGGAATACTAAATAAAGCTGGAGTTGGGACTCAAAGGATTATAGACCCAAAAACAGGGAAAAGAGAGAAAGGACAAAAGATGAAGAAGTGAGGAAAGTTGGAAAATTAAGGGTCAATATTTGCATAACAGAAGGTCTATTTAACCTATCTCACTACTTTTTATCTTTTGGCCTTTCTCTCTTTTCCCCAAATTTGAGTCTATACTCCTTTGAGTCACAACTACAGCTTTATTTAGTATACCTTCCTCATTCACACATTTCCAAGTATTTGAAAATATTTCCTTTACACTCAAAAATAAATTATGTATAAAGGTTTATGGCTTTGTGAAAATTCTTTTTTGAGTTTATGCTGTTGAAATAAATAAATTTGTTGGTTTTGTTTACACGTTTATTGGGCTGCATTAGAACTTGCCTTGGGCTGCATGCGGGCTGCGGATTGGACACCCCTTCCTTAAAAAAACGATATCTCCACGTATAATATCTTATTTCTGGTATGCATCCTCCTGGTGTGGATGAAAACAGGCATTGAGAATACATGGAAGTATATGAACATTGCTTATTTCACATAGGAAATATTTGCATATTTGTGTGTGGTGGGGTATGTTTGTACTTAAGGATTAATATGAAATGTAATTGAAAAGTATTGAAGAATTTCAATATTCAATATTAAAATATGACTATGATAACTACATTTATTAATTTTCTTTTTGAAACCTTGTCCTGTTTTATATTTGTGGCGTAATAAACACTAGTATTGTGTTTTATTCTAAAGACACATGGCAAATTTTCCATCAAGTTCCTTTATTCGTTGATACGGTACATTGTTTTTTACTCGTTTCGGGCTTTGCCCCTCTTCAGTCAACTAAAATACAATATATATATTTAACTTATAACAGTAGAGAGTTTACATAAAATAATGAGTACATAAATGATATATAGACGTACCTTTTGTTACACTTTTTATAATTTAAAAACGTAAAATCTGCTTTAATCTTTGTATAACTAGTATATATTATAAATAAATTAAAAGGTTAAAAGTTCTAAAATCTTCTCTTATAAGCATATTTCGATACTACAAACTGTAAAAAATTTTGAACTGTTTCCTCCCCCTCTTTACCTTCCACCCCCTTTTTTATTTTTTCTTATGTGCTGTTGTCTTAAGTGTTGCCATGTATGACGTTCGATAGAAAAAAAGGAAAAAAATATTATTATAAAAATATTATTTATAATATATTAATCCAGTTTTCGTGATGGAAAATTTGCCATGTGTCTTTAGAATAAAACACAATACTAGTGTTTATTACGCCACAAATACATTTATTAACTTAGGACTTTAAACTGTATTTTCAATGATTTGTTTGAATTATTAAAATTTAATAATAAAATTGAGAACATGATATTGATACAGTATTAAAATAATATTCAGTAATTTTTTCAGATGTTAAAACTAGTAACTACTAATTACGTCATTATTATTATTTTGCCTAATTTATTTTATAATACAGTATATATAATACAAAATAAATTTTTTATCAAACAAAATTTGGCTGTTTAGCCTTATGTTTTAATTTCCTATATATAATTAAATTTTATTAAAATTTTCCTGATATATTGATTAGACAAATTTATCACTACTTACAGATATATCACTATCTGTCAATAATTATAATACCAGTTAATTAATTAAACTTAAGAGAAATCTGAAAAAAATCTGGGTAAAATTAGAATAATCAGTTTTAACTTTTGAACATTTTACTACATTTTTCTAAATTAAACATTAAAATAATTATTAAAATATAGTAATTAAATTCTAACAATAAGTATTATTGACTTATATAGTTGACATTACAAATAAATATATTTTTTTAATAATTAATTATCTCAATAGCAGATAACAAATAGTCTATGAAATATTAAAGTTTGATGATGATTACTGAATTGTTATTAGACCTGTTACATGTACTGTAACATTCTGTGAGTAACCAATGGGTTATCTGTATTTAAAAATCAATATGATAGCAGATGCAGGTTATGCAATGATACAGAATATGTGTCCAATTTTAAATTGCAATTACAAACTTATTCAATGGCTTTTACTTTGTCTAAACTTTCAAAGAGTATCTTTAAAAAACTGTGAAAAATTCTATTCACATTTATATGCTATTATACTGTTTCTGCAAACTTCCAAAAAGCACATTTAAATTAAATCTTATCTTTCATTTTCTATTTCTATATGTCAATCCATGTTTTAATTAATTGATAATATTTGGCATGCCTACTTAAAATTGTTTTGAAAACTGATAAATTTTTTTTGATTCCTACCTTTCTATATCATGACACTCAGAAAACTACAAGGTGTCCCATAAATCTAGACCCATAAAAGTTTCTCATATTACTATTTCTTTCATTACAGGGAAACCATGTCACTTACTATGAAGAAACAAGTTCAAGTGATAAAACACTGATGAAGTTGCAATTTGTATGGATGCTAGTGATTAAGTTACAAGATACAGTGAATGCCAGTCTTGGAAATCCCAATCTCACTTGAAGTGCGTCAAAAGGACTTTTGTGGTCCTAGTGGGAAACAAGTCAATGCTTCAGCTCTGCTTTCGTCATCCATAACAGTTCTTGGCAGGCCAGTACGAGGTTTATCATGTACACTCCCAGTTTCTTTAAATTTGGCAATGAGCAGCACAACTGTTGATGATTTGTTCATGGTTTTGAAGGAGCCCATCAAATTCTTTGACCACTGCTTCTTGGTGACTGTGTGTCCCCACCATCAAAATCACTTGAATTTATTCCTCCATAGTATGTGACATGGTTTGCCTGTAATGAAAGAAATGGTAATACAAGAAGCTCTTATATATGGATCAAGACTCATGAGATACCATCTATTTAGAAACCAACTCAATTTTAGCATATCTTAGTCTACTACAGTGAATAAGAGCTCAATGATTGACTCTTGAACCAGAATTGTTGATTATTGTAAAGTATGTGCAACTCTCTTATTAAAATCAACAATGATTTTAATGGAAATTACTGTATTTAATGTTCATTTATTCTATATCTGATAAGATAATCATTCCCACCAAGAGCCATAGGGTTCATGTTGTTATCTCAGAATTATTTCAGTCCTGGTGGTTCTTTAAACATCAATCATATTACAGATATTGTTATTAAAATCTTTCTTTATTTAGGTTTTTTAAGTTATTTTAGCATACATTGTTACTATTATCATCATTAATAGTATTTGATAAATAAGACAGAAATGAAATGATAAAAAAATTTTTCATTTAATAACCATTTTGTATTTTTGTCACTTAATGCAGTTTGAGTGGTTCTGTCTCAAATATTTCATTTTTCCATCTTTCTTGTTTAATAATTATTATCTCTACAATGAATTTCTAATAGAAACAAAAGGAAAAATACTTTCAGAAAACTGGATGAAATGCTTTAAATTAACTTACAAACATGTTCAATATTCAGCAGAACAATTATTTATTGAACAAACTAGCATTTTCAGCTGTGTTTAGTGGTTATCATCAGGTTTATTCAATGGCTTTAACATACAGATAAAATGGAACATGATAATATTTAAACATATAGGAATAAAAATGATTGATTGCAGATGTAATGTGTAATGTACAACTCTCTTATTAAAATCAACAATGATTTTAATGGAAATTACTGTGTTTAATGTTCATTTATTCTATATCTGATAAGATAATCATTCCCACCAAGAGCCATGGTTGTATATTTTTATGTATGCATGTTTTTTGACTAGCATTTTAATTTTTTATTGGTTTGTAATACATTATGTATGTGACCAATTATTTTATGTTTCTGTCAGTTTAAATATCATGTTCCATTTTATTTGTATGTTCAAAACCATCAAATAAACTTGATGACCATTGAATAAAAATAAAAAGGTTAGTTTAAAGATTCAATAAGTAATTGTTCTGCTGGATATTGAAGGTGTTTGAGTTGAAATAAAAGAAAAGAAATGGAAAAAACAGAATGCTTGATATGATAACTTCTAAATTGTATACTGATTAAGTATCATGTTCTCAATGGCAGATTTGGGAGAGCTGAATACAGATATGAATTTTATGCAAAGATTTTATTTCAATTTTAACAATTTCTGCTAGGTGTATGCTGCTGCAGATTTTACACAGGAAATTACAGAAATGTTTCTGTTTTTATTTATAAAATTTTGAATGTATTTTTGTAACATATTGTACTTGTAATATATCACAAACATAAATATAATAGATTAATGTTTATTATATGATATTATATTAGTTTATAGTAACTAATGATATCAAAACATTAAGGTAAAATAAAAATGATATCCATTATTGCAGACCTTTATTTGTTAAAACATTTTTATATATTATAATGTGTCAAGCAAATATAAAATTCATTCTTAAATTTTATTTAATTTTAAAGAAATAAAAATTTTTTAATCAGGGAAGGAAGGACAAATTCTCATTCCAATATACAAGGTGTTGGTGACATATTGCTACAGAGAATTGAAATAACTGAGGTATATGAATAAGTTTATATTGTTAGTTTGAATAAAAATAAACTTTGTTATTCGTTTTATATATTTATTATGTTTCATTTTTAAGATTTCAATGAAATATGAATTTTTATTTTTATTTTATAAGTGTTTTGAAATCAGCATTTATGTGGCATGTTTTTAAGTAAGTACCATTTTAAAATAGGACTGCTGCAGTGTTACAGTTGGTATTCTGCAAATTTGTGCTAAGTACCTATATCCCTACATCTGTTGGTTAGCCACAGACACAATTACAGAAGCATTCGTTCATTTTACGTTTGTTTGTGCATGTTTAAAATGCCTCAGACAATTGAAAATCTCGCCGATTGTGAAGTATGTGCGGTGATTTATTTTTTAATGCAAAAGACGTGAAAGCAGCTGACATTCATCAGCAGATTAGTGAGATGTATGGAAAAACATTATGAGTGATGGTAAGAAAATGGGTTAGAGCATTTAAAGATAGCCGTACTAATGTCCATGATGAGGAGCATAGTGGGTGACCATCTGTTATTACTGAAGACTTGATGCAGAAAGTTGTTACAAAAGTTTGAGAAAACAGATGCTTTACGATTTTGTCATCCAAAACAAAAAGCATGGCAAGCTCAGCAAGGGGATTGTTTTGCTTCATGACAATGCCCGTCCACACATGGCTCAACGAACCCGAGATCTTATCACATCCTATGGCTGGGAACAACTTGATCATGCTACATATAGCCCTGATCTAGCGACTAGTGACTACCACTTGTTCCTCCACTTGAAAAGCCATCTAGGCAATCAGCGTTATGACAATGTCAAAACGCTGTGTGGCAGTGGTCAGCAAATCAGGTGGCAGATTTCTATGAGGATGGAATTCAGAAGCTGGTTGTACAATACAAAAAGTGCCTTCATATTAGAGGAAATTATGTTGGAAAGTATATTAAAGTACAAGCTTTCATGTAAGAATAAAATTATTTTAAAAATTGCAGTTGTGTTTTTTTTAATATCAAAACTGTACTTACTTAAAAAACACTCCTCATATAATATAGTCATTGATGAGGTCTTGTTTGTTAAGTTTTACAATTGAAATGCTATTGAGTTTTTTATGCTGGAATCTGGCTTCATTGCTATTACAAAAGATAAATCTAAGAATCTTTCTTTGAATTTACATTCAATGCTATGAAATATAAAAATATAGAAATTAAGTGTTATTCCACTCCTTAAAAGTTTTATCTATTCTTTCTGAAACAGTGTGTATATCATTTACATATATAAAGTTATCCTAATATATTACAGATTCAATTTTTTTTAGAATTTTTATACATTTAAATGCTCAAAAACAAAAGTAAAAGATCTTTTTACATTGCAAGATAGTTGTTAGCATTAAATTATGACTTGATTTTCAACCATTATTAATAGAAGCAAGATTTATGGTCAATACTATGGCTGCTTAAAATCCAAGGTCCATAGCTAAGATAGAAATAGACATAAAAAAATTTTGGAATCTACCACTATGGCTTCTGTGTGATACAGTGGTAGATATCAATGTTATAGAAAAAGATTTTGTGCCATTCTACATAGTAGACAGATGTTATATTTTTGGGCTATTTTTCTGGATTTTTCAAAAATACATACTTCTACAATATCTTTAAGTGGTTTTTAATTTCTAATTAAGAGTCAACATAACAGAGGGATTAAAATCTAATATAATTTTAAACTTTAAATCAAAGATTTTCTAAAAATCCTTTTGCTACTAAAATTCCTGAATTAATATTCAGGAAATTTAATATAATGATATATAATTTAATATAATAATATATTCTTGTTCAGAACTAATGTTTTTACTGTATTATCAAGAAAATACTATAAAATTTATAGGATGTAGAGTCTGATATCACATACATTTCATTTTATACTTTATATTTATATTTAATAAAATATAAATGAAATGCTTTGAATGTAAAGAATTAAATGCTGTTACATGCTATGGATCTTGTAATTTCTGAAGAGAAAACATGGAAAAAATTTTTTCAATTTTTTCTTAGCAAACTTTTAAATTAACATAGGTTAGATGATAATCTGATCTATTTTTCTGAAATTCAGTACAAAGCTACTTCAGAGATAAAGAGCTAGCAAATTCTGTTATAGAACAAGAATGGTAATACAGTAGAGCGTCGATTATCTGAATTAATTGGAGACTGGGGTTGTTCAGAAAATCGATTATGTATGAAAAAATACATTATTAATATAGTATATTAGTATATCCCAATAATAGTATATTAATATAGCCCATGTTTAAATTTTTCTCTGTTGCGTGTCGCTTTACATTGAATTTTCATCGATGTTAAGCCTAACAAAATCTTTTATAATAATTGTGGTTATTGTATCGTTAAAAATTATTTTTTAATTTTGTACAAACAAAATAAATATATTGAAAAATATAAAAACAAAAAAATTATACTTTAGAAGTTAATCTAGTATCAAAAATGTTTGATTCAGCACGACACAATCTGACTGGAACACTTCTGGTTAACGACGTTTCAGTTGATCAATGTTCAGATAATCGATGCTCTACTGCATTCAATCTTAGGTTTGTGAAGTGGAAATAAA